CAGCTGTCTCGTTATCTTTAAATGGTGGTCCCTGGACTTATTTACTAAAACAGTAAGGTTACAAATGAATGGTGAGGTTGAACTATGACTTGGTTGCCATTAGTGTTTATCAGTGCTATTTGCATTTGAACCAACAAAGGAAGATTGCAAGAGGCAATAACTGTGCTGATCCTGCTCAATGCAACATAATTACAGGGTCAGACTTAACATATTTTATTTCAGTTTGTTCATAAAGCTGAAAAGGCTTTTAGGAGTCCACGGTAGAGCTGCAGTAAAGCATTTGACCTGCTAACTAGTAAAAATGAAAAGGTCATCACAGTCCATGTTCTTCAAGAACATTTAACTAAAATTTTTTTATTTTTAGTATGCATGACTGTGGGGATATTTTTGTGCTGTGAAAAATCAGTTTCCATGAAGAGCTCCCAGCAAATACCTTATATAATAAAGATTCAAGAATTAAAATATACAGATAGACACATGTAGGCAATGCTCTGATCAGGCTTCTCTGAAGTTCTTTGCTGATACTGTCTTCAGACATTGCTATACTCTCATTAGAAAATCCGAGGGAAAAAATAAAAAATAAAAAAAAAATAAGTTAGAAAGCAAGAACATTTAATGATGAATTCTAAGATCAATTTCTTCCCTGTCCTATCCCCTCACACCCCCACCTTACAATGGATTGTTTAGAGAAAACACCTGAGGACAGAAAAAGCACATTGCAAAGGGAGATGCCTACTAGTCTCTCTGTTACCACTTTATATGACAGCATATGGTTATATATATAAAAATTCATACTGCTTGAGCACATATTCCCATTACTAGTGAGTTTCACTTTTGCAGCACAGTCTGTGTTTCCTATTTGTGGAATTTTTGTTTCCTATAATTACATGTTTCAGAAAGAAGAGATCTGAGTCTCTGGCAATGATACTGGTTTGCCTCTGTTTAAAGAGCTGTGCAAAATGTTGTGCTTGGGTTTGTTGATGGTCAGCAAAACTGAATAGGGATAATGGGTAAAGTCTGTGATACCAAAATGGTGACAACAATAACACATAAGAGGAAGAAGGTCCAACTGCTGTGTCACAATCTCATTTAGACTATGTCTTTTGTGAGTGAAGACTACAATCCAGTAGATGTGTTCACTGAGCAAGAGTACAGAATGTTCTGTGGGTTGAGCTGGACTTAGAATGCCACATTTCTGTGATGTTGCCTGTTGGTACGGATGGTTGGAAGGGAGGGGATTAGGCTGTCTCTGAATTGTTTTCCTTAGAAGAAAATCAATTCACTATCAGACATTGTTTATATTGATTATCAATTACTAATGAGTCAACTACTGCTTTGGTGCAGTCCTTTTTCTTTCTGAAGAGTAGGCAAAGTCCTTTTCCGCAGTTAGCTGTTACTCTTTGCTACTGACTCTCTGTAGCAAAGGAATAGCCATGTTTTTCTGTGGCTACACAATACCTCAGCTATGCATCTTTCCATCTAGTATCACTTTCTCTGTTTTAGAGAATTAATTATCGGAGATTGCCAGAAATAACCACAAATCAAACAGCGTTTACCCCTTCCATTAGTATGAAAGTGTTTGCAGTCACCTTCTCCTGAATTACTAAGCCAAGAGGTCACAAGCAACAAATGCAATAGAAAGCCATTTGCTTTAGGGTTATTAGCACGTTTTGGAGATAATTACATAATTTTACAAATATTCCTGGGGATTTACTTCAGTAACACAACCATGAATGTGAACTTCAGCAAAAGAAAATTATAGGTAATTTCTGTTTATTTTGCTCGTTTCTATAGTAACAATAGTAATTATTAATAAACAGAACACTCTGTTCTGGCAAGTCATGTTAGGAAAGCCTCTGAAATTAAAATGAATTCTAAAAGTAGCTTCCAAGGAGGTTATCCAGTTACATTTCAAAATGGCAATGCATCCTCCAGGCTGTTAGCAGACAGTTATACAGTCCTCATCTTCATTTGGAACTTCTGCTATCAGTGGAGCTACACTGGTTTACATCACTTAGGGGTATAACTAGCATGTTTTAAATACACTGGAAACTAATATGACCTAGATACTTATGCCTGCTTGTACTGTGCATTGGTATTAGAAGTCTATTATTAGGTGTCTAGAGATATTAGAGCTCTAGGTAAATCTCATTTTGTGGAAATGAGAAATATACAAAAATGATCATGTGCACATGACTTTGTTCAGAGATTGCTTTATTAACATGAATTGTTCTCCATATCCCTTTTTACTGAGGAAACAAAAACTTGCTACTTAACTGTGGAAGTCAGAAACATTTCATAAAAGCAGGTGACTCTGTAAGTCATCAGATATTGGCATATATCTTGCGTAAATACTATGACTAGAGAGGTTTGCTCAAAGGTGTCGTCAGACCCACAAGTCCCTCAAAAATCTTGAGCAGTCTTTTACTCTCCATGGGGTTACTCATGGTAGTTCCTGGCCTGCTTTATTCACTTGTCCACAGATCTAAACAAGGACTTAAATAACTTCTTAAAAGTCTGTATCCAACAATGTATTCTCCATCTTTTGTTTTCTCTACCACCAGCTTTAGTACTACTACTTTAGAAGAGCTATGTTTTCCTTACTGTCTTTCCTGGAAGACAACCATAAATTTTGTAGGAGGTTTTCAGGACAAAAATAAATGTGTCTTTAAGTCCAGAGAACTCAGGGATGAAAGCTCAAGAAGTACAGTTATGCTCTGGAGTCAAGTCTAAAACATTAGCAATAAAATAATTTTTCTAGTGTACCAGTAGATATTGCTGTCTGAATTCAGCATTGCTTTTGCTGGGTTTACAGCACAAAACAGGGACCTGCGAATATGGGGGGCAGGTTTGAGAGGGGTAGTCTACTCTGAGTCTGGCTTATACATCAGTAATAGAATTGTTAACAGTGTTTTGATTACAGAATCATTTATAGCTGCTTACACAATATCAGAGACATTGATACTAAATTTACAAGTTTGTTTATCAGGATGGTAAGAGGGAAAACTTTTTTTTCTGTGAAAATCATTACAGTTTTAAATGAATTAATTGACATAAAGCTTCTATGCCAAATTATTAGCTGTGAGCTCTAGCTCTGCCAAAGTAAATGAATCTGTACCAGTTTACAGTGTCTGAGACTTTGGTCCCATCAGTTCATTTTTTTGATTAACTTTTTGACTCTGTATTTTAAAGTGTAAGATGGAATAAGGAAGGATGCATTATTTTCTTCTATTCCCTTAAAAGGATCCCAGTATGGCAACAGAAAAAAATAAATAAAAATAAAAATAAAAAATTACTCAGGCAGTTTCCAAAATTGCAGCTCTGCAAAAAGGAGGAAAGTGAGTTGTTTATATATAAAAGCATTCATAAATTGTCAAGCAAAGTAGCATATGCAAAAAAATAAAAATAAATGAAAGTGGTCATATCCACACCAATTAATCTATATATGTGAGCAACACACATGCATAAGTCCTTTGGCAGTATGCACAAAAGCTTGTGTATGTACAGAAAGCTGCCCAGCCTCAGCAAAAAGTGTGTGGGTTTGGGGTAAGTTTTGCTTTGCATTATGCACACTTAACTGTACCTAACTGTGCACACATCAAAAACCTAACTCTTCTATCTACTAGAAAAATTACTTTGAAAGAGACATAGTCATCCTTCTTGGATATATATGAAGATGAAGATAATGTCAAGCAGTTTGGTATATTCACTTATGAATAATTCATCCAGCTGCACACAGTTATTCTTTATTATTATTATTATTAATTATGTGTGTATTGCTGGAAAAGACAGGAAGGCTGTAACCACTGCCTCGTGAGAGATCCTTAATGTTTGAATTTGGTTAGACCAAGATGTGTGATATGAGGAAAGGGAGAAAGACAATGATAAATAGATCACAAGACACAAAGGCTTTAATAATGTTGATGGGGAGAAATATCATTTGTTTGAGATGATAGCCTTAGGAGAGCAGGCTACTCCTAGTTGCCTTGTCAGGAGTTCAGTTCTTTGTTGTTTTCTGTAGAGCTGGGTATACTTAGAGTAGGCTTGCCTGCATTACAACACGTTTGGCTTGGATCTGCAAAAAAGTTTGATCTGTACATGGGATCTGAGTTATGCAGGTATGTTTGGAAAAAGGGCAAGAAGTGTTGCCTATTTGAAACGAGACTTCCAGAAGACTCTGCATGGGCCCACGAGGAGCCCAGATACCAGCAGTGGTCTTGATACCACATTATTTAACTCTGTGTGTGTGTAATAAATGTTTGGAAGCACAAAACGAAGATGCAAAAAGAATCTTTACAGCAATCAACTACTCTCAGACAACATCTCACTTTCATATCCCCCATGCAATTTAGAGGTGTCACAAAATCCTGGCTGAAATTACATCAAATGGAATGCTTGTGATGTATTTTTGTTATAGCTCAAAGAAAATCTTTGCATTTCATGACAGGGCTGAGTAAAGCCATAATAATGATTAATCTCCATAGAGATACTTACAGTACCTATTTTCTGTGTTTAGACTTTTAGGAAAATGTATAAGGATGTAAATTGAGCTGAGTTCTAATGGAAGGTTATTAATCTGGAATCCTTCATTATGCAGCAAAAATGTAGCATAAGAGTGACCCTTCGGGCATCTTAATTTTTTTCATCATAACACATAAAATTATTGAAAACTTTTGCAAATGTAACTGAAAATCAACAAAATATTTCAATGTCATTTTGTCACTGTATATCTACCTTTAATATTTTTCCAGGCTGTAGAACTGCCTGTGTCCTTTAGGCATAATATTGACAGGAACCATAATACCAGTAATCTGTATAGAATAGCGTGGACCCTGCTGAAGCCTCACTTAAGTGCACACTCACGATGATGAGAGCATGAAAGACAAAATCTGATAGCCTGGGCTGCTGCTTAGGGAACTTTATGGTCACCTGTGACCAGAACTAGACTTGTACTGTGAAAAGTCACTCTGACTTCTGACTTTCTTTTTCTTCCACTTCAGCTCAGCAAGACTGGCAGCTTACTCAAACACTCACAAGTGTACTGAGACCAGCGCAACCTACACATGACCCACTTCTGTGTTGTATCATTCTTCACCCTGCAAGGACGCCCAAAGACTGCTTTTGACAGAGGTACCTCCCCTCATACATACAGATGGGAAAAGTATCTGTGCCTGTATTAGATATTTTTCAGAGAATTGAATTTCAGTTGTTATTGACTAGACTGGGTCTATGCTATGGTTTTCAGGTTATGGCCAAAATATTATTTAATGATATCTATCCCATTTGTTATAAAGATGTTTTAAGTTGGGATAAAATCAGTGACGGTTTGTTCTCTCTTTGAAATTAAGACTGCATCTGAAACTCAGCACTCTGGATAGTTTGTGGATTTTCATCACTCTCTCATCCCCACCCCTTGCCTTTTTTTTTTTAAATAAGCCATATTTGAGAAATTTAAATTTAACACCATGTACAAAAATGTCTTTAATTTTCAGTTTTTATAAGGAAAGTGGAGTATTATTTTTGTGTCTGAAAGTGTTTCAGTTACTAAATGGATGAAAGCTTCAAAGTTGCCTCAGTCTCTCAACAGGGAAAATAGTAGTTTTGCTTCACAACAAGCTAGGTGTTGAAACCATCTCCAGATTCATTAAAGCGTACTGTGGAAATAATTTTCTAGTGGGAGACATAATGAATGTGCAAGGCATTTTTACAACATACAGGAGGCTATAAATTTTTAGAGAGCTTTTTATTATTATTTCTATGCTCTAAGTCATATTTTGCTATATGTCATAAAGGTTTGAAAACTTAGAATGCTTTGTAATTACTCAGAGAAAAATAACTCATTACATCTTAAATTCAGATAACAAAAGAAATGCAGTGTTTGTGTAGGTTGTTTACTAGTTCTGCTTATTCCAATGGGCCTAGGCCAAGGGCAAACTGTTATAAAACTGTAGCTGTGTAAAACATCCTTTGCTGTTTGAGTGCACACAAACAATAACAGAATTCATCTGAAAGTGATGGCTGATGGGATTCAAGGTGAAAATGTCCTTAGTAAGGATGTAGTTTACATAGTAAGGCATCCACCTTTTGTTTTGTTATAAAAGCTCTGCATATATTTTTGCTTTGGTGACACAATCACTTCCTTTTTTCCTGCAGAATTATTTATATGTATGTACACTATATCATTATTAAAAAGAAGCATTTCCTCCTGAAAAATTTAAAAACATTGATTTAACACTATTTCCTAGTTAATTTTCTAGTCAGTAAACATGCAATAGAATAACTCCTGTGCAAGATATACACAATAAGAAGGCTTTATAAGGATAGCCATGGGGCTAGTCCCTTGGTTAGCACTGGTTGGTATGATGTACACTTCTGTATTGTGTGGTATGGCTCTTAGTCCAACCTTGAAAATGTAAGTATGAAATAGAGGGGAACATATTTCATACAAGTAACAGAAGAATGCCACCTAAAAAATATCCAGAAAGCACTGCAGATGTCAATCCATGGGCACTATCGGTGAAAGGCTGCAGATTCAGGTTCTGAGGTTGTGTATCCCCTTTGATTGCCAACTCCTGCCAGCTGTGACACAGTGAAACTCTCCTGACTTCTTGTGCTGTTATTGTGGGCTAGGCTGCAGCATCTGTTCACACGTTCTGAATCTCCTTTGTTTTTATGTCATGTGTAAACTAGAGAATGTTTAGCGCTCTTTATTGCTAGAAGAGCTGATCAGTGTATTCACTGCACTAAATTTAACAGCCTTGATACTGAAAAAAATCTGCTTGCAGTTATAGTGTGGGTTAGGAAGAGCAGTATGTAGGAATTATAGACAAAAATGTGACATTTCCAAGGATGTACTAGTTTGAGACTGAAAGGGACAGCACATACATGGTACTTCATTTCCAAAACATCATTTTCTTTGGAACACATTTGTATGAATTATATGCACTTAGAGTCTGATTTTGTTAAGACTTGAAGGTGTTTGTTTACATCTTTGCACAGATGTCTGAATACATTGGCTTTTGTTTTCAAGGTGCTGTTATGTTTTTGGAAGTTTTAGTCTTGCAGAGAATTATTACTTTAGAAGTCACAGTGAAATTTCAGAGCCAGAGTGAAACCTTGCTTTTAAACATGTTCAGTGGAAAATAGGACACAAATCAGTAATTTGTTAAAGACAGTTCATTATATCATGTGCATGACCCTTTGTATTTCACCATCTGCAGTAAACATTTCCAAACTTTCATTTCTTTACAACATAAATCGTTGGAAATAGTTGTATTAATATTTCCAAACAAGACTCTGCCTGCCACAGAAGTTCTAAGTCTACAGAAGAGGATAGGATGCTGACATGCTTTGCATGTCAGAATAGTTGTTGTAATGCCTAATGAGCTGATCTGTTCCTCAGCATAGGGCTTGAGAACAGCAGGAAGCTCCTTCCCTGTGAAAAATTACAGCATTAGCCCTTGGAGTATAGAAAAGTGAAAATGAGTGCAGCATTAAACACTCTGTTAATGTGTGTTTGTACAAACGAACCACAGAGAGCCTTATTCCACCTTCACATCTGGAGCTTTAAAACTTTTTTAAACCTTATTTTCCACTATACTACCAAAAGAAAAAGGGGAAGATCTCTGTATTGCAACATATAAATTTCTGTCAGTGAAGGACTTGACAGTCTGGTCAGACAAGAGTGTTTGTCCTATTGTGAGTCAATTTTGCTTTATCTGCTGAAGAATAAAAGAGAAATAGCATAGGAAGAAGTAGCAAGAAAAAAATTAACAAATGGAAAAAAAGAATGTAGTGAATAATCCCAAAGTGAATTACCCGAAACTATGTTCTATCTCCTTGTCAGATAAAAATATATGTAAATATTTTTTTTTTGCCAGTGAGGATTAGGTTTCCCAGGGAATGAGAGAGAATTCCAGGATAAGTAAGTCACAGAATGTGATAGCATATTGCTATCCTCATCTGAAAATTCTTATTCTACTGTATTTTTGATATCTCTTTATTTTTTATTTTTTGTATTGCAGTATAAATGAAACCATAATTGAATGTGCCTTGGAAATATTTTAACTATAAATCAAAGAAAAGAAGGATAGAATGATGGATTTTTTTTTTTTTCTAATGGCCTGGTTTAGTTTTTTTTTTTTTTTCTTTTTGTCAGTAACAATGTATCTGCACACTTCTGTATAGCTGTCTACTTATGGTGCAAAAAGCTATCATTATATGCAATGGAACATCAAACAACTGTTTCATTAGTGGTCCCATTATGAGAAAGTACAGTGACATTAGAATATCAGCAAGTTGTTACTATAGATACCTGATTTCTCTGCAACACTCATGTTTTTATATACCCACATATATCTGCGTGGTTTTTATATTGTATGTGTGTGTGTGAAAATGTATATGTAGGTACATTTCTCTTTCCTTCAAGAATAAAGGTCTTCTTGCCTTTTTAAGTATTTAGCATACTTTGGTAGACAGCATTATCCAGAATGCTTGATAATCTGAATTTGAATGGTTTGAATTAGATGAAAGTGTTGTAAATGCAAATGTTCAAGAAAATAACTTTGTAATTCATCTTATCTAACAGGCAACATATTTACTAAAGACTCTCAGACTTGTCTCATCTGTTTTACACATTTGCATTGTAATATTTGCATGTTGAGAGTGGGGGTTTTAAGGGAGATCAGGTTTGGGTGCGATCGCTTTAGTTGAGGCACAGAAAATTGTTTTAAATGTGCCAGAAAATGAAAGCTATGAATAATTACCATTATTTTCCTCAGTTGTGCTCAGATAATATGTATTCAAAGCATCTCACAAACAGTAATTGTTTCTCACAAGTTGTATGAGATAGGGAAACATGGGAATACTATTTTCCTGACCATGTGGTTAGAAAAAATAAATAAATAAAAAATGTCAGGAACTACGTTATTTGATTGAAAAGAGGGGTGGGTGTGCATGTGTGCAGGACCAGGGGGTTATTTTCATAGAGTAAATCAGTGGTGAGCACTGGTGAGATTTTTACACCTATTTATATAGTATAGTTACTGGACCTAGAAAGACAAGACTACTGAAGGCTTCAAGTGGGCATCAATAAAGCACCATTTGGATTTTTCATATCGGTTCATTGATTTGTTTGTTGTTTTTTGAATATTTTGAGGCTGCTGCTATGTTTAGAGATAGAAGCCCATTGCTAAGTACCAGCATGCCACATATTGGTATTAAAAAAATGCTGGCTTCAGGAAGCCAGTTGGACCAGACCTTACTCATTAACTTGGTAACAGCTGTATCAGCATAAGAGAGGAGAATTTGTCCTCCAGCTAATGAGAAAGCCATATAGTCCAAATTGTCTATGTTTTAGTATGTATTTACTGGAATGCCTTTGAAGGCTTATTTTTTGTTCTTTTTTGCTGATATTTTTTTTCTATATTTTACAAAAATTGTTATTAAAATGATGTGGCAACTTCTAATGTGAAATATAGGCACTCTGCACAGCTGATGTCTGGAGCATGCAGAGATTTAAGCTCTTTGCATTTCTCTGACCTTGAAGTCATTTTGTTCCTGTGCTGTCAGTTGCAGTACAATCTGTGAGATGCTGAGCATCTCTGGCAAGCTCCCTTTACTTGACTGGAGCTAGTATTTTGCAGGATTAGCCCCCCTTTTGCACTTTCTTGTGAAAAATTCTATCAATAACCGAATGCACAAATGTTGGATCTTAGTTGGAAGACTTTTTCTACTTCTTCAACACTTAAGCCATAGAAAGAAAGGGAAAGGAGAAGCTCTGAAGTCGTATCACAGCAGCCAATTTTCTTTTGAACACAGCTGGATTGTGATGAATTGTGTAGTAGTTTTGTGATGTAAGCAAAAGCCATTTAGAGGTATAACTGTTATCAAGTTCCTTGGGGAGAGAGAGAAGTTGGAGAGGTACACAGTATTCCTTCCTGTGTGCCAGTGCAGGACACAATTGCAAATTTGATTTCATTCAATGGGTACACGGAAGAGCAGAGAGAAAAATGTGGCATTAAATTCAAATCTTTATTCCTGCTGGTTAAAAATTGTGGTGTTAATGCAACCAAGTCACTTTGCTCTGACTTAAAACCATTTCTTTTCAAAAGAAATACAAGGCCTCAGAA